AACTCATTTTCAAAAGGCTAATTGTTTACACGTTACACATGTAATTCAAATGTCACTTTCATTTCATTTAATCGTTTATTTGAACAGGGACAATGCACATTAATGAACACTTAAGACAAATAATGCTTCAAGTGTAAATATGCCGGATTTTAGCTTTGAGCTAATTTCCATCCGCAGTCCCTGACATACATATAACATATAACATATAAGAACATGACATTTATAAACATAGCAAAAATAAATACATGACATGCAAAAGAGCATGAGCAGCACACACAAGTATTTACCACATGGCAGTACAATATAGCAGAAACGACATATAAAGTACAAGAGATGATACAAGAGATGCATAAAGTGCAAGAGGAGATACCCCTGTGTTAAAGTGCAGCTAGCGGTGATTGCACGTCTGTGTTTCTCAACCATTCTTTGAGTTGTCCTTTAAAGCTATTGAGAGTGGGACAATCCCGTATCTCAGTAGGGAGGCTATTCCACAATGAGCTGCCTTTAACGGAGAGGACATTTTGTCCAAAAGTGGTCCGTCTACGGTGGACCTCACAGTCTCCTCTGGTTTCTGACCTAGTGCAGCGTCCAGTGTCTTTTTTGTGGATGAATTCCCCTCAGGGAGGGGGGGGGGCAGTCCATGTAAACATTTACACATTGCAGAAGACATATCTGCAGATATCAAAGGCAGTGGAGATTATGAGACTGACTCACACTAACATGGCCTCTTTCAGCTGTGCAGACTCACGCTCTGCGGCAGATCTGGCCCCATGAGGACAGAGAGCCACACAGTGAATGGACGCTCGGTTAACTTGGGCCCCGGAACAAAAGAAAGGATCTGTTCCTCGTCAGGCCTGTCCCCGTTTCATCAATGGCCTCTGTGCCTGGTATGTGCTGTTTTTATTCCTCCAATTACTCACACAAAGGCATCTCCTTCCACTGACCAGCAGGCTAACCCAATAAGACACAAGGGCGGCTGCAGCCAGCTCCAACTAATCATTTGGACATATGGGATGTCCATCAGTCAGCTGGTGAGGGAGGGGGATTAACCAGCGGCCTGTCAGGTCTGGGATAAATACATGTCATGAGTCAATGGGGCAAAGATTGTCTGTTTAAAAATAACTCAATCTTTCATACATCCTTGGAGAGTGACTGTCAGCAAACACAGAACCACCCTGAACAAATACACACTCACACAGCATGGCCTTTGAGACAGGCCCATACAAAAAATAATGGCTTCCAAAGAGCAGCGCTTCTGCCAGCTGTGCAGCGAAGACAAAGTGCACAAAACTCCCCAAATGTAAAAGCCAACTTCCTGAATTTGACCACATAACAAACATTCACAAATAGCCAATCCTGTTAGCAGAGCTCATAGAGAGCTGCAGTCTGCCTCAGGAGCAATGATATTCTTTGTATCATCAGAATTGTGATTTGGTTGATGATATCGATCAGTGATGTTTAGCTTCTTTCCTTGAATTTTTGTTACATGAAGTTGTTAACACGTTTGTTAAAAGTTTGTACGATGTGCTTTGGCAAAACTAAGTTTTTGTTATGGTGCCAATAAAGCTTTTTTGAATTTGAATTTGTAATGGTATTTATTTGGGGAATTGAAATGACAGCCTTCATGTCTACATTAAAACATTTAAAAAATAAAAACAAAGATCCATCATATAACAAGCGATAACGTTCCCAGTGTGTCTAATGTCTGCATCAGTACTTTACTTTTTTGTTAAAGTAAAGCAAAGGAAAAGCACATCATATACACAATGTGCAGATATGAGTTGCTTCCAAACTCCTGTAATTAGAATTGGGACTCTACAAAACACTGTCTGACCTTAGTTCAGAGCAGGAAAAGGTAGATCAACACATTGAGATAAAAGATTCAAATCAAGATAAGGCTTCTTGAAAAAACATTATAGTCATTCTTTTATTTAAGCTCTATTTAGGACTTAATAAGACGTGAAAAAAATACAAAAGTCAGTATTTTCTTTTTTCTTTTCACTGAAAACAGCTGTCTGCTGCTGCTGCTGGAAATACGGATTTCGGATCAAAACCAAAATGATGAGCTGAAAGACACTAACAAGTCCAGTAGAGCTGAAAAAGCTGCAGCTTATTCTCCAGGGCTTTGGCACTACTTTTTTTGGGCATATAATCATTGGATCAATTCTTATTACAACAATCTAGGCTTAAAAATGTGTCTGATCTGATATGTCGGTTTTCTTGGGTCTCAGCTGTTATTGTGAGACCAGTGATCTCAGCCCACTCACATACTTCAGTGCTTATGCTGGATATTTTGTGTGGATATATTTAGGCCATTAATTAGATGAACAACCTATTCAGGCAATGTGCTGCTTGATTTGAAATGGCTTGGTGGCCCACCTTGTTCCAAAAGAAGATATTTAGCATGCAAAACGTTTTTATACATACTTCTATTATCTGCATGAGGAAATGGTCTTTCATGCACTAATAAACCTGCAAAATCTGATCAATTGCACATATTTTCTTTCTTTTTGTTTTTCTTTACTGATTGTTTTTTGAAATACTTTCTGTAATGTTTGCTATTGCTATTTTACATCGTGATCATTGTGTTTTATGTATACACCAAAGCAAAGTCCTTGTATGTGTAAACTTACTTAGCATTTGACCTGACTCTGAGGTAACAGCAGCAATACAACGCACTGAAAGTGTGCTGCAAGGGAAGAGCAGAATGATCCAAGCCGGAGCCGAAAGTGTTGACCTTTGCCCTACAAGCGGAGGTCAGGAATGTGGGGCACCTAAGCTAATTGTGAGAATATCTAGGGGGTTATGTGTTGTGTACACGGCACAGAGGTCTGGAGCTGGTGCTCTGTCTGATGGATGTTTCTCTCTCAGAGCTGGGGGTCTGGGAGAGAGAGCCTTCCACAAACAACACAGCTCAGCGCCTGTCAAACTGACAAACAGTGACAGGCAGCTGACACATTCTTCACACAGAGGCCAGCGTCTGGGCTGCGGAACGAGGAGCACATCCTCCTGTCCACGCCTGAGGGATGCGGCAAATGCTTTTCATACTGATTTCAATTGCAAACGGCCAAATTCCTGCAGCAGTTTGAACGAATACACTTCAACATTCTGTGCAACATCTGCATGTGTTACTATCAAGCCATCTCCATCAACCAGCTGAAGAAACTGTAAAGTATTTTGGATCATTTCTGGTTGGTAAAATTCTTATGTTGATAGTTTTTTATGGTTTAAAAAAAAGAAGACATTTTACCTGTTGTATTTTAGGTTGTTTCCACTGGAGAGGAAAGGTTTCACACATTAGTCCCTACAGTTCCGCTCATCGGTATTCATCCGGCGTTCATTCCAAACCATTAAACAGCATTTAGCTGTTCCTGGCCTGAAGTTTCCGAACCTCAAGGGCTCTGTGGCCTCTCCCTTCGAGTCACTCTTTTTCCACTATCCTGAACAGTTCTGTATCAGCACATTTTAGGATCTTAAATCATCTCCATGGAGCCAGTACGGATCTCCTTACGAACACAATTCTCTTCATATGGCTACCTCCATCTACACTAGGAATTCCTTATGATGTATAAAGTTTGAAGTTGAGTAGATTTCTAAGGCCTTTTGATATTACAGCGATGTTGATAAAAGCTTATTAAAAAAAACTTCAAAAGTTTTGGCAATTAGACAAATGTAAGATAATTATCACTATTTTTTGGCCTCCACCAACTTCTGAAAAAAATATCTCACTCTTCATCTGCTAGTTGCTCGACACCACAGTCATTTTATCCAATGCTGTTTCAATTAATTTAATAGGCCACATGGTTTCATTATATTGTTTTTCAGTTGTATTGCACAACAAACTAGGACAAGATGGAAAAACCAAAAAGAAAGATCACAAGAATGCTAATTCAAGCATGCCTCATCTCAGCAGTAATTACAGGCACACACAGATCATTTACATGATCCCCCTCTCCCTGTCTGTCTCTCTCCTGGACAGTACAGTGTAGTCACAGCAAGAAAGAACATCTCATCTGCATCTGTCAACAGTGGCCTCTTATCTTTAGCAACCCACAGCCATTCAAATATAGAGTACAATGTATCTAACTTGGACTGTGACCACAACTGTGGTTACTTTCCTGTTTACACCAATCAAAGGCTTTCTGTTCTGATGATGTGATTTGAGCCTGCTCCTGGTCACAGAACAACTGTGAATGTGTACCTGCTGTTATCTCATAATATCCTAAAGAAATGCATACATGTTGATACAAATTTAAAATTACAAAAGTTCACCAAGTGTTAGTGATGGTAGTATTCTTTCTAAACTCATATTTAAAGACCAGGTGTGGTTCTGATTAATACATTATTATAACAAAATCATCCAATTATTTAGAAAGCAGCCTTTAGCTATTGTTTTATTTAATGCATGTCTAAAGTAATGGAATGTAATTATAACACATACATGTTTTATATATATATAAAATATATTAATATACTTTATATTGCATATTGCATTTTTGTCATCTCGCTAAACTATGTTAGTCTGTCTGAAATGATGCTGTATGTTCAGGTTAGACCAACACTGATATGTGATTATGTTTCTGACTCCAGTGTTATTAATGTTATTAACTGGAAATATGAAAAAGTAATGCAGAGGTGAGAAGTACTTTTACTGAAGTACAGTACCAAAGTACAATTTTGAGGTACTTATATTTTACTTGAATATTTCCATTTATACTACGTTATAGTTGTACTCAACTACATTTAAAAGGGAAACAATGTAATTTTACTCCACAACATTTATAACAGCTTTAGCTACTTTTAACAAAACTTGTACTTAAGTAAGATTAAGAATACAGGACTTTTACTTGTAATTAGGGTAGTTTGACAATAATGTATTGGTACTTTAACTTCAGTAAAGCATCTGAATAGTTCTCGCACCGCTGCAGAGGTGAACAGCCTGAGCACAGGAGTCTCATCTCGGCCTCTGCAACTCCTCGCTCTCGCGTTGGCCAACTTACCCTCCAGCGTAACTTCTTTCCCCGCCTTCTTAAGCGCCTGGACCGCGAGGTCGTGTGTAGCCTCCCGGAGGTCGTTCCCATTAACGGACAGAATCGCGTCTCCCACCCGGAGAGCCCTGCTCTGGTCAGCGGCGAGCCCCGGGAAGATCTTGGAGATGAGGATGGGCATCCGGTTCTCGCGCCCCCCCTTAATACTGATCCCCAGCCCGCCAGACTCCTGTTTGACAACCCGAACTTTCCGCACAGCTTCCGAAGGGCCGTCCGCACTGACGGGCATGTCTCCTTGTCTCGACCCGAAACTGGACCCGGGACTGCCGTAGCTGGATCCGGGGCTTCCAAAGTCAGAGTTTGTGCCGTTATTCGGGTATTTCCCGGGGCTATTTACACCGTAGTTGCCGTCGTATTGACCCCGACTGACACCCCCGAGCGCCGGGCTGCCGCTACGCCCCCTACCCCCATGGTTCTGGTTCTGGTGTTGGTCTTGACCCGAGGACGGACCGCAACCATGGTTCCCCGGACTCTGTCCCGAGTCGTTTCCGTTCGACATGCCATTTCGCAGGCCCACCGAAGAGTTGTTGTAGTCCCAGTGGTTGCCCCCCTGTCCGCCTGCCTCCGCTTCGGCCGTTAAAGTCAGCGTTTCTCGGGTGAGTTCGGCGGTCACTCTGATCCAGCGGTCCCGGAGGAGAAGGTCCAGCTGACCGTTTTTGTCTGCTCTGGTCCAAACTGCCATTCCTGGTCGGGTAGCCTGCTCCGAGGCGGGCCGCTCTCACACTGAACTCATCATCAACTTTTTCCTCTTTTCAGAGTGCGCACAAGCAGCGACTAGGCTGCACTGGCCCGCAGACACACCCACTCACACACACTGTCTGCAGGCAGGGCAGAAAAAACAGAAAGACTCCCAAAAAAAGAGGGAGAGGAAAAGGAAAAGAACAACTGGCTGTGATGGGCCAGCCTCAGAGGGCTTGTTTTGGAGTTCAAGCTCTAAAGCTGTCCGACTTCCACTGCAAAGTTAGCAAGACACGACAGAATATCCGTTCAAACCTTTCAAAACAAAATAAATGCGCGCGAAATGTGTTTTGTGTCAAATTATGGAATAATAAACGGATCAGAAAATAATTGCGTTACAGCAGCGGAAGCACACAGAGAGAAAGGAAAGAAGATAAGAACGACTTCAGCTTTCCTAGGATATTGCAAATAAAATGGTATCTCACTCAGTTTTATCTAGTTAAATAAGGGTTAAATAAAATGCTATATCAACAAAAGATTAAATAAATAACATTTAAAATATTTTATATCACAAAAATATACTGTTAGTTAGTTGCTAGTCGACACTTTTTTATTTTAATATTTTTTAAATATTTTTCTTTCTTTAATAAGGAGTTTATACTTACGATTTGTTATTTTGTTGTTATTTACACAATGTTAAGTGTCTTTAATAACCTTTAAAAGAGCCATTTAAACCGGTGTTACATATTACGCTTTATTTTGAAATTAATAAAAACTAACTTCCGGTGTCATTCTCATTCATGCTGTGTTCACGCAGCCTGTCAAACTGCAGTGGGAGCCGGATGACAGACAGCCAATAGACATGTTGACCTGAAGATTATTTACTCATGATGATGGAAGAGGCCGTGCATCGCCGCATTGCAGATCCACTGACAGCCTGCTTTAATCCAGCACTGTGTTCACTATATCCATCTCTATTGGGAAGGGTTATTTTTCATATGTAATCCTTTACAATTACTAGTTACCACTTACCAGGGGAAAAAAAGAATCAGTAACATTTTCAAAGTATAACATGATAAAAGCAATGCAACCCGATTACTTATGGGATTAGTTTTGTTTCATAAAGATAAAGGAACACTTTATCAGAATCAAGCAAAACTAAAGAGTTTAAGAGAAAAAAAAACTGAGTCAAGCAAAATACATTTAATTTCAAAAATAAAACTATAAATTGCAAACAAATCATTTGTGTAATCATGTAAACTATAAGTATTTTTTCTTTGTTTTAACAAGTCTATTTGTTTGCAGTTCTCTTTGCTTCTTTGTCAATGATCAGACTTTTGCTCTCGCTGCAGCTCTTCTCGTTTGCGCTCCCTCATTTTTTGTTTTCGATTCTGACACAAACGTCACAGGTAGGCGGGACTTTCAGGGGTGCGTCCCCATTGGCTACTCAGTTTTTGAGTGACAGCCCACTACACCACAGATCATACAGTGCAACTCGTGCAGCAAACTCCGGAGTCCACTCGGCCACGTTTGTGTTGGTGCCTCCTGGGGAGTTTTCATGAAAATATCGGACTTATTTTATGGATTGCTGTGCATTATACTTGTGTTGTGTAGTTTATACTTTATTCCAACTTTAAATATTTTAATACCTGAACACACTGCTGCTGTAAAATAATTTTACATTTATTTATTTTATAGATAAAAAAAACACATCTATGTATTTTCAAGCTAAAGGTGATACACAATATAAACTGTATACTGTTATTTATTCAACTTATTATTACATTTCAAAAGCATATATGGCTATGTTTAGGACAAACAATTAAAGACTGCTTTAATTTAACAAATTCTACAATATAAAAGTGGCAGATTTGCTTTATTAAACAGACCAGGGACCTCATTTATAAAGCCTTAGCAAGGCACAAGGCTACTTCACTCATTTAGCTAGCTAATGTAAGATACAAATGCTATCGAGCCCTCACTGCTTGTAAAATAAACAGCACAAACTGACTACTTACCCCCGGATTGTTTTGATCACATGACTGACAAAGCCGTGCTCTGATAGGCCAGAAGTCGGTTCGATTGCATTCAGGCTCGATTGCTTATCCTGTCTGGGTAGCCCGGATGACGCTGCATTTTTGACGTCGAATTTTAAACACCGAAATTGTGCATTCAAATTTTTTTAACTTTAATTTTTGGGATCTGAATTTGACTATTCAAATTTTTTTTACTTGAATTGTTACATTTTTATTTCATATAGGTAAATTCAGGGCAAAAAATTCAGATACATGATTTTCAAAGTAATTATTTTCAATGCTATAAATTCGGTGTCTGATCAAATTCAAATACTTCTGTCTCTTGTTTGCTTCCATAAAGGTTGCTTACGTAGGACAAAGCAAATGCTGGGTCTACTAATTTTTGGATATAAACTCATACTGTACATTGTGTTGATAAATTGGATTTAGAAGGTCAATATTGAAGTCACCACAAATGAAAACTGTTTTTTGAATCACTTTTGAGAATATTTCCTCCATCCAGTCCTTGAAAATCTCAATACTAGAGCCGGGTGCTCTATATATACAACTGATGATTACATTTTTCGTTTTTTCTTTGCAGATTTCAATCGTGATATATTCCAATACATTATCAATCACTGTTGACATATAATTAATCACCTTAAATTGTAAAGTATTGTCCACATACAAGGCTACTCCTCCTCCATCCTTGTTTTGTCTATTTATGTATCTGAGTTCATAACCCTCCAGCTCAAAGTCTATGCCTTTGTCCTCCGTGATCCAAGTTTCAGATATGGCAATGATGCTAAATGTTTGTTGAAACTGATTTAAATATTCCTTGATGAGATTAAAGTTTGCATACATGCTTCTGCTGTTGAAGTGAATTATAGATGGCTTGCCCTCTGATGATATGGGTTAGGGTTAGCTATGCTCTGGTTGTACTGTTGATCATGTAATAACAGCAGTTGTTGATGATAGAAGAGAAGAAATTATTTTCCGGGTCTATTTCATAATCCAGATCAAAAGATCTGGATTATGAAATAGACCCGTTTTATAGTCAGTTTATTCAAATGTTTTTAGCAACAGTTGGTCTTATTCCTTGATCATCTGAGACATATTAATATTTTCCCCTATTGTAGATGATTGCCTCCATTCAGTGTGAGTCATGGTTGTGTGTAGGTGCTTGTTACCTTATGTGTGGTCCAGAACATGATGATTATTGGTATTTATCCAGATCCTCCGTGTTTCTGATGAGCAGTAATGTTCTTTATCAATATACATAAATGGGACATTTCAGGCATAAAAAAAATGAATTGATTTTAAATAGTGGGCAAATTAACACATGAAAACTAGGTGTGGGCCGTATTCCTTCATCCATTTAGAATTTGCTGAGGGCCGATTCAAAATAGTCAACGGGCCGCAGTTGGCCCCCGGGCCGTAGTTTGGACACCCCTGATGTAGATGATCACATGGTCCCCAGGTGTCAGTAGCAGTAAGGTTCGGAGTTAAAAGCACACTGTACAACAAGCTGCAATGCACTGCTGCGCACTGCACACACTCCTGCACAATCACAGTGGCTCTGAAGGAGTCCCAACAAGAGCTTCTGCTCCATGAGCCTTTTTTCAACACCGTCCTTTTATTCTCATTGGAAGAGCTCAGCTGCAGCAGTCCTCCTGTCCCTGAAGAGACAAGGTCTGCCCAATCATCAGCACCAGACTGCAGCCTGCCAGCCTCCACAATGAACAAACATGAATCAACATCCCTCTGAAACATTTAGTCTGAAGCTGAACATGTGGTGTGATCTCCGTTTGTTTTAATGTTATATTACACCACATTAGTTTTAGCCAAATGTGAAATGTAACAAAGTACATATACCTAAGTACTACACCTTTTACTGCGAGTACAATTTTGAGGTACTAGGTTGTAGCTTGAGTATTTTTTATTAAATTATAATTAAATAAAATACTATAAAAGAATGACAATACTTCCCATTCGATTATAAAGAGTCTAGTGTCCTATGTGTCCACTCCACTCACTACATACATCTTCTATGGAGATTCAAATTAAGATTTCAAAATATAATATACAGATATTCTCTTATCTATAATTATAAACTAAGATAACACTTGATTGATTCCTTGGTGATAATCAAACTACATGGCATCTTATAAAGTAAAAAAAAAAAAGAGTGCATACGTAAAGTACGTATACTTTGATACTGATACTTTTGTACTAGTACCTTTACTTGAGTATTTTTACACTGTGATTTATACTTTAAAGGGGACCTATTATGCAAAATCCACTTTTTCATGCCTCTTCTACATCAACATGTGTCCCCTCTGTGTAAAGGGATTCTGAAAGTTTCAGGAACAAAGATTCTCTCTCTTTTTGTCCTGATCCATTTATATAAAAACCTGTCTGAAAATGAGCTGATCAGATTTTGGCCACTTTATGATGTCATAACGATTTTTTGGCTTATGTAACCATTAGCCAATCACCAACCAAGGTAACACCCCCCCCACCTTATCACCTGAATCTCCTCCTAGAGCACCATTGTGTTCTTTTTAACCAAATATCCAGTGGCGTTTTTATATATAAGAAATTACTAATAATTTTCTTTTACTCAAAATCTCTCCTTTTATTTAATGTGTTACTTGAATTTGCAAGTAATTTTGTGCCCCACCTGCCCCTAATGACCAGTCGCCACTGAATATAAGACTATGAAAAATACGCAACTAGAAAGACTACAAATCCCAGAGTCGCGTAAGTGATGTCATAATTGTTTTCCTCCTCTAAATATAAGAGATAGCTAAGATAAGATAACTTTAACAAGATGCCTGTGTGCTTTGTACCAGGCTGTAATCATACCAGCAATGGGTCTTGCTCGTTCTTTCGCTTCCCGTCTGATGAAAGTGGCTGGATCAAGTTAGCTAACTAGCTAGTAGCAAGCACGTTAGTTAGCATTACAGCCTTAGCCTTGTCATTTTTATTAGCCTTAACATGAAGTAACATTAAGTAACCCAAAATGTTAAACAGTAAGAATAGTAGTCATATTTCGTGAACCCTTTGAACACCGGTGTGATCATTCTATAGGTGCGTTCACACCGGAGTACTTTGGTGTACTTTTCCCACAATAGTTCATCAGAACTACGATATATTTGCGTTCACACCAAAAAGCCCCAGGAACTAAAGTAGCTCAACTTAGTTCGCGAGACTCGCTTTTCAGTCCCTGCTACAGAGCAGGGTCTCTCGTGG